CAATAAATTTCATATATTAAAAAAAAAAAAAAAAGAATGATGAGGTGAGATATGAGGGGCATGTTCCGTCAAATTCAAATGCTGCATCTCTAAGTGTAAATAATGACAATAAAAAGAAAGCTGTTAACTCTGGTCAGCCAATGATGACTTCATTGGAAATACATTCTAACAAAAATTTTTGCCAGTGAAAATGCTAAAGCTCTAATGTCTAATGATAGTCTTATAGCCGAAATGTTAAAATTTCAAATTAAAAAGATCTTTGTAAACCCAGAATACTTAACTTTTCAATAAACTCCTCAAATTGTTAAAAAAAAAAAAAAAGATCAAGCTACTGGCACAATTCCTCAGTCATCTGTAACTATTAATTAGAATGCCTTATCCCTTCATTCGGTCACGTCATTGGCAGAGGAGAAAATGGCTGACACTGCAGCTGAAAAATTTATTTTTCCAGCATGCTGGGATATTTTGTGAACAGAGTGAGATAAATTTGATGATAAACTTAAAAATATCCCTCTTAGTGATAACACAGTATCTCTTCAAATCTTTACTACTGCATGACATTTGGAAGTAATGCTTACTAGATACTGAGAAGCTGGTATAGATTTCTAAGATCCAATCTGATAAGAGCATTTCTTCCCCGAGTTGTGCCACTCTCAGAGTTTACAACAGCTCTAAGTGGGTACTTGCTGCAGTGTGTAAATGTAACTTCACACACATCTGGATTCAATATATTTACAGAATTGGGAACATATGCTCTCCGTCAATACAGAGTGAAAAACTGCAAAGGATGGAGCAGGAAATGGGACAGAAACACAGTCCAATTATTAAAAACTGAAATGATACCCACAGCACTAGTTTGCAATCACTGTTTTTTTTCTATCATAAGGCTGTTGCCACCCAAAGAAATCCACCCTTGCTCATGAACATGCCGTATTACCTGGCCCCTTACCTGCAGCTTCACTTTCTGGGGGTTCACTTGGGAAGCAGATGACCCTCCTGATAGATCATCAGAAGGTCAATACTAGCCGAACAGTACATCATGATGCCTACATCATCCACCTCACTTCATCTCATCACCCAGGCATTTTATCATCTCACCTCATCACAAGGAGGGGGAGCTTAGTGCGGTAAGATATTGTGAGAGACCACGTTCACTTAACGTTTATTACCGCAGATTGCTACCTCTAACTGTGCCTAATTTATAAATTAAACTTAATCATAGGTATGTATGTACGTATGTATAAGGAAAAGCAAGGTATATATATAGTGTTTGGTACCATCCACAGTTTCAGGCATTCACAGGGCGGTTGGGTACATATCCCTCATGGGGGAAGGCGGGACTACCATAACGGAAAACAGGGAAAGCTGTCATTAGTATTATATAAAGCTCACTGAATGGCAGACTTTTTAAAATATTTTATTCAGAGACTGGCAGTAAATACCCACTTCCTGTGTCATACCCATTTGTTTTACTGTCTCAATGGAATACACTAAGGTGCATGAGCTTAAGTGTGGCATTTATATTTTTCTAACTGAAGCCTGATCTCCTATGGCAACTATTTTCAAACTTGACATCTAAGTCTAACAGAAAGGTGTATTTAACCAATTTTGCAATTTCTCAAGTTACATTTGAAATTTGGGGAGGGAAATTATATATTTCAATATGATTAACACATGAAAGTGTTCCAA